TGATCATTTGAATCAGGTGTGTTGGAAGAAGGAAACATCTAAAACTTGCAGGATTGCGGCCCTCGAGGACCGGAGTTCGAGACCCCTGCTCTAACAGGATTGTTGACCATTTTGGAAAAATACAGCTGGGTTTTTCCATCTCAAATCATCAGGGGCCTTCTGCTCGACCATCTCAGATTTGCTTGAAACCTTTTTGTAACATAAACTATGGAAATTTGAAATTTAATGTGTGACGTTTTCGATTGAAAAAAGTCAGTCTTTAAAAAAAAAGTCCCATCTTTGAGCACCCATGAACAAAAAAGAAATTTAAGTCTGTTAGGAATCTTTTCTAAACCATGTGTAGTTGCATGTCACAGTGGTAATTGCCAAAGAAATTACACAAAACTACATGACAGGTGTTCTCCGAACCAAGGTTTATGCCTACAAAGTTGGGCTGAAAATGATGAATATACTCACATTAAAAAAAAATGTTTTCCTAGTTTCTTAGCAGAACCATGTTGAAACTCTGTTCTACTTGGATTAGGCTATCTATCAAAGTGTTAGCAGCAATACAGTAGGTCATATCTGCACAATCAGTTGTGAAAGTTCAACAACAGTACCTTTCTTCTCATTTTTGTGACAAAGTATTTCATCTTAAAAAAGTTCTGTATGTTTTGTTTTGTATTGTGACATACAACTACATATGGTTCAGAAAATATGACTAGCTGATTAATGCATTATACATGTTTTTGTTCATATTTGCTCAAAGATGGGACTTTTCATGATGGCTTCATTATTTTCATATATGAACTCAGCCATAATCAGACTGTTTAATATACTGGTCCAATATTCTGAATTAACAGCATGATCAGAAATAACAGTGATAATGTCAGACTTCCATCTTTAAAAGTGCTTGAGATATTGTCACCCAAACATAGCCTCAATTTCAATGTGTGACAAAAATGTCCTGAAATTGTGGCATTTTTAAATGTTTCAAATCTTAGGCAGTATTTGATAAATCAAGCTAAAATTTCCCAAATATCTTTATGAATATCCAGATTTTATACCATTGAAAGAATTGGGAAAATCTGAGATAGTTGAGCAGAAATCGTTGTCATGTTTGGGTGTTAAGTTTGAAGCTAGAGTCAGGAGACCGTCAGAGGGTTTATAGAGGCAGTTTTAAACTTCTCAAACTGCTCACAGCTCTTGATATACCTTTAAGCTATTATAATGCACAGTATTAGTGTGAAAGTATTGACCATTGTTGTCCTGTTCTATGCAGATATCTGTCTGAAGGAGGTTCCCTCCATAGCAGACAGTGTGTACAACATCCAGCTACTGAGTGAGTTTTCTACTGAGTACCTGAACAAATGTTTTTATTTGAAACCTGAGGACCTGCTGTACTCTGCACCAGTACTAAAGGTGAGTCTAAAAACTCTTTCTTTGTCACTTACCTGATTGCGATTTTAAAGTAAAATTTGCAAAGCTTAAATAGTTTGAACTAATACTGCCGCTGTAGTTTTATTGGAATACATTTACATTTTATATCTCTTTCAGCATATTCATGGGTTTCACTGCTACTTCGTTTGGCGGAACCAAAAGATTATAGTGGCTAATGGTAGCTAATATCAGATATTTAATGCAGTTTAACCCACATTACTCTGCCACTTTGCCAACATTATCACTCTGCTTGTGCAACTGTTAGACTGCATAAAACATGAAATGAGCACACCATGCTTTTCAAGGAGAGATGTTCATAGTTTTATTCTTGTAGTGCCGTTTATCTACAGTCCAGTAATCTGTTAATTTGTCTTTAAAGCAACTGAAGAGAAACTCAACTTGTCATTATTCTGTCACTATACCATTCAGCGAAAATGACAAAGCCTCACTTAAAGAAACAGACTCAAGTGTTTTATTGTCACGTCTTGCTATCAATCCTGACCTGGTTAATTATGTCTTGCAGAATAATGTCATGGTCTTCATTGCTGAGCTTTTCTGGTGGTTTGAGAATGTGAAGCCAGACTTTGTACAGCCCAGGGATCTCCAGGAAGTCAAAGATGGTACAGCATACACTCCACTGTGTATTAAATTGTAGCTGCAGCATTTTGCTGTGTTAGAGGCGCTCTTTTAACGGGTCGTATCCCCTTCTGCTGTTTTCACAGTGAGACTGTTGCTGCAGCCTAAAAGTTCTCGATCCTATGTGCCCATCTCTAACGTTACCAAACGAAGCTTCATGACATCATCAAACTCTGCAGACGTTTTGACCACGCCACCGAGCCCTGACCTCAGGTATCATACAGTAGTAGAAGCTTTACAGAAACGCAGCACAGATTAATGTTCAAGTTGCAGATTTACTTCTTAATGCTGCTTTTCAATACAATTGTTTTACGGCACCACCTGTCTATTGAGAATTTTTCCATTTGCATATTTGTGTTCTTGTAATGTAAAACGTATTGTTGAGTATAGAACTTAAGGAAATTACATATTACATTCCTAGTCCTCATACTTTAGTTAGTAAAAATTTGAACACCTTTGTGTGTGATATACATTTAAATCTGGTATTTTTTGCTTATTTTTACTGTAGATTACCAAAGCACTTTCATGATACTCACTGCTGTCATATTATAAATGCCTTTGCGCTAAACATGCGGTGGCACGTTTCCAAAGACAAAACCCAGATCTCTCCATCTTTCTCTTACAGCACTAAACAAAGCTCAACAAGCCCATCTCACCCTTTACTTCCCCTGAGACAGAGACAACAGAAGGTGGTTGAGGAGAGCACTTCAGGTAATATAAGCAAATATTTACTCACGCTCTGCAGCTGCTGCTGCCTCAAGTCACAAATAAAGGTCTTTTTTTGAGGAAGGACCACAGCTTCAAATGAGATTAACTGTTTATTGTAGAGGAGTAACCAGGGATTTTGGAGCAGGATGATGATTGCAGTGTTAGGAAGGTTTCAGGATGAATAATGGCTTCTGTGGTCAGTAGACCCCCAAGGGACCCTGAGAGAGATGATATAGAGAGAGAGAAAAGAGGAAGATGAGGCGAGGTGTGGAAAAGGAGAACCATCCGGTGTGCTGGGCAGGAACTCATTTATAGACATTTGATGTAAAGTGTTTGATTTGTGGCACTGTTGCTGAACTTCAGCTAAACATACAGGAGAATTGAGAAAGGGAAGATTGAGAGCAGGAGGAACATTTGGATCTGTGGTGGTGATGGAAGTTGTTAAGTTGTATGAAAGTTTGGTTGTAACCTTTGAAAATAATAGACTTTGCCTGTGCAATATTCCATCTAGGGAGTTCCTCCCCAAAGGTTATCTTGTTGAAAAAAATCCAGTTGCAGTGTTTCTAATCTGGATCATATTTTCTCCACACAGTGGTGAGAAATAGGTCCAACTCTCTCGCAGATGGACAACATCAGGGCTCCATATTGGCTTGGCCGGAGAGAAGGGCGAGGTGAGCAACGGGATTACAGTCATCACAATTTCTGTAGCAGCAAAGAAGAATATAACAGACAAATTCTTATAACTGAACTCACCTAACTCATATTTATCTCTCTGTCCCACTACCCCATTCAGACCTTTATCCCAGCAAGCCCCCTACGCTCTGCATTTTGCCAGAGAGGACGACGCCGACAGTATCAGCCTCGCTCGCTCCATCAGCAAAGACAGCTTAGCCTCTAACATCATGAGCATTACCCCCAAACACATGCTGGGATCAGGTCTGTCTCAGCACAGACTCAGTGGTCAAAGCTTACTCAGTCACATGCGCATAGAGGACGAAGAAGAGGAAATAGAGGAGGAGGAACTGGTTGCCGTCATCCACCCTTCTGCCTTTTCTCGAAAAAGAATTGGGAGTGACATGGAGCAGGATGAGCTGGAAATACAGAGTGCAGCCTCCACCTCCAGGGTTCCCAATACTTCTTGCTCTCCCCGCCTTGACACGGGTCCCTTTACTCTGGATCACCAGGCAGACAGCTACTATCTAGAGCCTTTGATGCCCGCCGTCCCTAAGCCGGCCAAAGAGAAGAGCATCAGCCTGAACAAGCAGGAGGAGAGCGGTGAAAGTCGCTTTAGACCAGCAGCAGGTGCGAGGAAAGCAACTATCAGTGTCCCAGGCACCTCACAGAGAAAATCCCCTGTGGCTGAGTCAAGCAGAAGTGTCTGCACACCCACACTGATGGTAGAATCAGTCCCTACATCTCTCAGGCCACCCACAGAGGGCTCAACTGGCATCTCTCAGTCTGTGACGAAACAGCCTCAAGGCTTTTTCCTTCATTTGTCAGGAGAGTCAGACTGCCACAGTCCTTTCTCCACTGTGCTGGAGGCTGGGCATGACTCTGACTCTGACATTGCAGACCTTGAGGAAGACGATGAGGAGGACGATCAGATGGAGCTGACTAAAGAGGTGCTGAAGAGAGGAAGGGGGAGGTTCTTAGAGGAGGGAGACTTGGCTGAGTTTGGGGAGGGAGAAGGGGAGTCTGCCAAACTGAGGGAAGACTTGAAGGTGAGCGAGCGGGAGGATAAGGAGGATGGCAGCGGACGTTCGAGCCCTTGCCCCAGCACCATATCTTGGGCGAGCAGCTGCAGCGCTTCAGGCAGTGCCAGTGTCAAGATGACGAGCTTTGCAGAGAGAAAGCTCCTGAAACTTGGCCTCCGTGATGGATACTCAAGCACCAGCAGCTCCCAGAAGACCACACCAGATGGCTCTGAGGTTGCCCCCTGCCCTCCCTGGCAACTGAGGAGTGAACCCACCTCAGGTTGGCTGGGGAAGGAGCCTAGCACTGTGTTGGGGAAGAATATGATGGCGAGTCCTCCAGTTGTGCCTTCAGAGCTGCTGCAACTTCACATGCAGCTAGAAGAGCAAAGACGTGCAATAGAGTATCAGAAGAAGAAGATGGAAACCTTATCGGCAAGGCAGAGACTAAAGCTGGGGAAAGCTGCGTTCTTGAACATTGTTAAGAAGGGTGGAGGGAGGAGTGATACACTTCCTTTACCACTGAAACACTCCCAGGAATCCTCAGAGGTAACAGCTGCTGACAGGAGTAAATCAAAGACACAGTCCTGCAGGGATGATTCCTGTCTTGATGCTCTGAAGGTGCAGGCAAGAGCAGGTCAAACACACGGAGGACAGATGAACCGAGACAACAGGTTGAACGCCATGTCTGAAGATAGCATGGCTGAACCCGACTTGAACGAGTGCTCCCGCTCCATAGATCTACTTAATGAAGCTATCAGTTCTATTCAGCAGCAGATGATGCAGCTCTCCTTCCAGCAAGACCTGCTGATGAAGCAGAGTGTGGTCTCCCCTCCAGACTCTGTGCAACCAGACCTGACGAAGCAGAGTGTGGTCTCCCCTCCAGACTGTGTACAAACAGACCCAAGCACAAACCCCAACACAGCGCAACCAGAACTCTCTACCTCAGACTCCAGATCTTATGCAGTTCACTTTGTAGATATCAGCGGCAGAAACTCTGTCCCCGCTCGCCGTCCTCCCAAGCTTAGCTCCAGCCAGCGCGGCAAAGCCTCTCAGTGGAAACAGAGTAAAGAACACAGCAAGACGTCTGCGTCGAAGTTAAGCGTCCCGTCCTCAGACTGCGCACTTTCTGCTGGAGAGCCTGAGACAGGGAGCATCGCCGAGAGCTCCAGAACTGATAGAAACGTTCAGAGAAGCACCACCTTCAGAGTCCACGATAGCAGCGGAGAAGGAACTGGGCGCTCCTCAGACAAACCCCAATCACAGGACCCACCGGTCATCTCCAGCACATCCAACTCTGTGTCACAGGATGCAGAACGCCAGGAGCTCAAAGCTGTCAGCTCAGGGAAAGAGTTTGTTGGTGGGGATGACTCTGCTAGAGCTAAGGGTCAACTTATTGAGGTTGACTTGTCGGGGGTGAAGGAGCCACTGGAGGATGGCAGCACAGACGTTACAGACTGCATGGCAGAAGGAGAACAGAAGAATGTGTTGGGCTTCTTCTTTAAGGTAAAGTCCACATGTTTGCATTTACATCGTGCTTCTGTGTGTGACTTGTGATGCAGCATATCAAGATCATCTTTTTTATCTTCAAGGATGATGAGAAGGCAGAGGATGAAATGGCGAAACGTCGAGCGGCCTTCCTCCTTAAACAGCAGCGCAAAGCTGAGGAGGCAAGAGTACGCAAACAGCAGCAAGAGGTCGAGAGCGAACTCAAGCGCGATGAGGCTCGGTACGTTTTCACACACGCTAACACGAATGAGGAGGCTAAGGTGTGTGTAAGGGTTTGTTTTTGTAGCAGAGTGGAAATCTGTGTTAAAACTCCTTCTCTTTGTTAAAGGCGTAAAGCAGAAGAGGACCGTATTCGTAAGGAGGAAGAGAAGGCGCGGCGAGAGCTAATTAAACAGGAATACCTGCGGAGGAAGCAGCAAGCCCTCATGGAGGAGCAGGGCCTGGTCAAACCTCGCCCACGGACTAAATCCCGCAGGAACAGGCCTAAATCACTGCACCGGGAAGAGTCCAGCAGCCTCTCCAAAGTATCCACCACCCGTAAGAACATCTTGCACTATCTAGTTCTTCATGTTGCCTTCAGTATTGTGTGTTTAGATCTGTGTGCTTGTGTACGTAATGTGACAGACTGCTGTGTGCGTTCAGTTCACTCGTGTGCTCTGTGTCGTCCTCTGAGTCTGTGCATGTGTGTTGTGCAGGTAATTCTCTGAAGGTGTCCATGTTGATCAAAGCCCAGGGCTCAGCAGCAGGCTGCAGGGGAGGTGAACCTTCTAACCTGCTCTGCATGATGTGATATCAAGCGCACACAGCTGATAACGATAGTTTATGTAACAAACTCTGGAAGTCAGCCATGGATTGAATGCTAGAAAGATCAATGAGTCTTTTTACAGCAGCCAAGTCTGCCTTCCTTTTGATCAATCTGTCATTCTGTCATTCGTGTTACAGGGTTATGAACTGTTCAAAGTTAACTTTATAGTATAAATTTGGGTCTTTGCTTGTTCTGAAAATACAGTAGATCAGTTGTGGAACTGAGCAAACAACAATGTTATCTTGTTTACAAAAGTAATTGGTGCTAAATCCTTCTGTCTCCATTTTCAGCTGATCTGAGCTGCAGTTATCGAGGTTCTACGCTGTCTTTGGCGACTGAGCCAGACAGTGTCATCTCTGGAGGGGCAGAATCACACAGGTGAGAATTCCTGTGTATAAACACAGAGATGAGTTGGTAATCTGTTTTAGTCTTGTGGGTCCTTGTCGTTTTTGGATTGACGTATCGGTGTGTATTTTAGGGCTGGGTCTGTGTGCTCTATGGAGTCATTCCCCCTGCTGAGCAGGGCGTCCAGCAGGAACATGGAGCGAGACTGGGAGAACGGCTCCATAGCCTCGTCCATCACTTCAACTGAGTACAATGGTAAGTGGAAATGCATTAAAATTATTATTATTTTTTTTTTTTTAAATTCATTTTCAGGATCACAAAACAGTCAGGTGTGAGATCAGGTTCAACATTATGTTATCAATACAAAGAATACTTGTATATGTCTGATTTGGTCGCACATCTAAAGGGTCAGTGTGCAGGATTTAGTGGTATCTAGTAGTTGTATCTAGTGGTATTTAGTGAGGCTGCAGAAAAGGCAGCACCCAATGAAATACCCTTCCCTCAACCCTCTCTTTCCAAATTTGTAGAAGAACCTACAAGGGCTGCCAGTTTAAAGCAAAACATAAAAGATTAGTCTCTTCTCGGTTATTGTAGAAACGTGGCAGCACAACGTAGAACCCTCTGTAGATAATAGAAGTTAATTTCAAGCTTACAAAAACACAATTATTGGTAACATGATCAAACAATAATAAAAACATAGTTATTAATATTATATTCAATTTATGTTCTCTCTTAAGTCCTACAAACTGGACCTTTAAATCCTTCGTATGAAATTTTGGTTCATGTGTTTATTTGCTTTTTTGCTAAAATTGCAAAAGAAGATTGATAACACTTTCATATTAGTATGCTACATTTAAAACCACAACCAACAAAGGATTTGTATAGGGGTCAGCATGTTTGTTAAATTTAAAGAAAAATTTAAATGTATGACAACAAATTGTGGTTTTATGAGGGGAAATGTCCTTTAACAGCTGCCTAATTAGGCCAAATACCTGCTGCACTTCATGAGTTGCTCAAAGAACTAGCGGAGTTTGCAGGAGATTACTGTGCCTAGTGCTGTTTGAAACCTTTATGCTAATCTAAGCTTATCGAGTCCTAATGCCAGTTTTATGGTTAAGACACTGATATTAGAGTGGTATTTGCATCTAACTTAGCAAGAAAGCAATTAAGCCTACCTCCTATTCTGTTGTTAAAAAGAAAACAAAAACAATTAAAGCCGCAAGCGGCGATGGACGGGTCCTCGCCCTACGCTTGTCGACCTTCGCGCACGGCGGGACTGTGATCCAGCATGTCGAGTTTGGGGCAGATCGGAGCAAGTGTGGCCTAGTTGCGAGCCACTTCCTGTTTAGTGGTGAGCCGCGGCGGCGTGCGTGTTGGCCGGGGTGGAAACGAGCTCTGGCTGAGACTCGGAGCACGTGTGTAAAATTTCAGGCCGATTGGAGCACA